GATGCAAACTTATACAATTTCAAAATCTATGATGACAATATATCATCTTACTGATCAATATCATCGTGAGTTGACATTAGTGACTATTATGAACTATTGATAGGTCATTCACTCAATAAATCCAACTATTAATCAATTGACCAATCATTCAGGGGTAAGTGTTGACCAATTTGTCATCATCCCTATTCAAAAATTACTGATTTGCAAATTGATTTTAATTAAATTACATTTGACAATAGATTAACACCATTTGACACTTTATCTACTTTTGGCTGAAATAAATTAACTACCGTTTCCTAAATACTGTTTTGATAAACTTATTCTTTTTTTGCTCCAAAAGCAGCTAATTATCTGGCAACAGGAAGAGAGACTCGAGTTCCACCAGAGACAGAGTGTATCCACGGCTGACTCAGAGAGGCGAGGTAAATCAGGGGGAAGAGAGGGTGGTAGGTGGGGCAGAGGAAGGGGCTGCAAAAGCAACTAGATGTGTGACGGTCAAATAGCTGTGTCGTAAACGTCACAGCCCCTCTCCAGTGTCACGCTCTCTCTCCACCTTGATATTTGCGTACCTAACTACGCGGTTATGGCTGACGTGTGTTCTGTGCTAATGTAGTACTGTGCTGTCAAGTGTCAACCCTGTCCAGAATTTCGCCTTCTATGGACTTAAAGAGTATAAGATACTAGTGACAAATGACATCCTCTTCTACCGAAAGCAATGACGACAAGGAAAAACCCTTTCATTGACCCTTGAAAAGTGGTGATACGTCACACCTCTAGCCTATTGATTGATAGGGGTACTTAAATAGGCCCACTATTTCCATTTTTTTCGTCCTTGAATGGAATTTAAAAAAATTGACGTTTTATGGGAAATTCTTAAGGGTCATTGCTTCTGCATCCGAGTTGGGACGGACGATAAAATGGGAGAGGGTTAACTCTGCCTGTGGCCTCGCCTTGGGGAAAAAGGGGGAAGATGAGAAAATGAGCCCCGAAATGGCTGCCCTGGTGGCAAGAGTGGAGACATGGGGTCAGAGGAGGGCAAAGGATAAGGCCGTATCTCCCCTCTTCATATAAATGAAAGAAAATTTTCTCACCAGTCGTTTTGTGCCATGCAAGAAGCTTCACCTGATTGGCTGATTTTGGTCCCCTCCTAAAGACGATTTTTTTGCTCACCTTTCAGGTGGGTGGCGTGGGATAAACGGGTACATTTTAGGACTTTCAAGATTATCATCTGGAATCTAGATGAAACCTGTAGCCACTAGAACTTCTCCAGTAGATGTTGCTGTTCTGCATTCACCTCCAACACCTGGATTCAGGCTGTCACAGTAATCGCACTATCCTTTCCTCGACATTTAGGTGACCCTGGGGACAAAATCGAACGAGCTATGGTGATTTGTGCCTTGTGGAGCGAATCCCATCCACTGACATCCCCCAAAATTAAGTATCCTTCAAGGTCAGCTGATTCGAGGCAGAAAACTGACTGATTAGATCACCATCCACAAAATCCAACAAGTTTTTTGCTCGGTGGGGTTTGTTTACCATTGCTATCAAAGATGCTGCCTCCCAGCATCCCAACAGTCGTAATAAGCCATACCAGTAAGGGGACGGAGGTGAAGGAATGATTATTGAAGCACGAAAAGGCCACGGTTGGAGGCTCACATCATCAAGTGGAAGTGCAAACTGTGGCTAGTGAAAACAAATGTTAACTACCACGTTCGTTTATTTGCCCTTATCAATAGACTTTTTATGCATCAAAACTATTATTGCCAAGGAAACAAACCTTAAATCATACCCGCTTTTTTGAACAAATCGACCAGTAGAATTGAAACAGCCCACCCAATAAGAAGGCAGAATTTCACTTCAAAATAACCAATCATCTTAAGGCGCAAGCACAATTGAGCATTTTGGTCAATAGGAGAATCTTCTCCCTTCATTTTACAAAATTCAATGTTATATAATTAAATCTTGACATTTCTAATTCCTATTTCGCCACTTAGATGTAATCAACTGATTTACATTGAATTTACTAATCATCCTATCAAAAGGTTGGGCCTAATTTTATTTAACCAATCACACTTAAAGTTTGCAAAAGAAGATATGCCCGATAAAGTCCAATGAATTTTTTGTGGTTTAACGGCACATCAGGAACACGGTTGCCAGCACCAACTAACCGACCAGCTGAGTGACCAACCGGTCACTTTTTCTCAGGCCCTTTTTTAAAAAACGTTTCCAGTGCGAAAGTCAGGACAGAAGGAAAAAAGAGGGAAATAAATGTTTGCAGTCCCGATAGTCGAGACTTCTACGTCCAAAATAAAGAAGTGCCCAACTTATTCATATGGAGAGAAGATGGGAATTTTTTGAGATTATTAACTTCGTGCACGCGAGGCAGAGAAGAAGAGGCGGATAGAGAGCGGTCCCCGCCTCTTGTCAGTGGGTTAGGTTGAGGGAGGAAAAAACTGCTCGAGTAAATGGCCAGCCATTCTGCTGAACACGGTCATGTTCGGTAGAGGGGGTGGACGAGGGGGATTTGGGGACGGACAGGAACTATTAAAACACGAACGTGAATCACGAACACACGAATGCGGTGTTTGTGGATCGGCTTAAAAGGAAGCGAGAATTGCAGGTCTGACTTGATTGTTTTTCCTCAGTTAACTTCGAGCAGTTAAAAAACGTGGCAAAATTAGTTTTAATTATGGAGGCTGAAAGATGGACCATCTACTTCCATCTCGGTGGATGGAGGCCTGAGTGTGTTGTCGTCTGAAGGGTTTTCAGTTTACTACCAATTCAAACGCAACCTTGGCCGTTCTGAGATGACGCCCTTCTCTAGACCTTCCTTCAGATGCTTCGAGCCTGAAATCAAACCAGACTTGTGAATTTTGGTGGCAAATAGTCTATATGCGGCTTCGTAGGTGGTTACAGCTTAGGGGCATTTTTAAGAAACCATTTGAAGAATACTTAAATGATCGTTTTTTGGGAAAAAAAATTTGGCTCTCAGATGTCATGTGGTGGCTTCAGGCGCGCCCCAGCCGCTACAATGTTGACACTACACAGGAAGGGGAGGGGGTGGGATGTGTCCAACACCTTGTTACCTGTCGAAAAGTACATGACCATCTTCGGCCAACATCAAAGGACGCCTTCATTTCAGTTGATCAGTCGGTTGGTACATGACAAGTGACGGGGGAGGAGGACATTTTCTTTCGAGCTAGTTAGATCTCTAGTGAAGAAACAGCTTTTTCCCTTTTTGTTTCATCCTCATGAATTGAGCGTCTGAAAGATGCACATGAATAATTCATAGGCCAAAAAATGTCTAAGAAGGGGCAAAAAGGCAATTTGATTGACATTTCCCCCAGAAATCAATGATTAATCGATTAGCTGTCATAAGTCCAACTGGTACAGGTATTGTTGTTCGGCAACACTGAAAGATTGATAGATCCATTGCTACATAACCAATGGCCTAAAATATCGATTAGCTGTCATTGTCACCAACCCACACACATGATTTATCGACCGGCAGTTAGGCGAAACAAATAGATACACGCCTTAGAGACGGTAAGAAGACAAGCGAACCAAAAAAGCGGACAAGAAAAATATATTTGAACCACCGGTAGGTGTTATTTCTTGCCTCAAAATGAGACAACTTGGAGGTTGGTGCGACCTAGAAGGGGGATAAGCTAACAGGTGACCTGAAAAAAAAGAGGGCCTTGTAACCGTGGTGATTATGATCGATTGTGGAGGCTTAAACAAATAAGCCAAGTTATCCGGATTTTAGAAAATGGTCGCTTTAGTAAAATCGTCCCCGCTACTAGGCACCCAGTCTCCCCGGTCTCAAGAAATGGTTCTACGAGCATTTGGAGATTAATGTAGAAAATGGAATAGGGGGAAAGGGGGGAATGCTCTAATCCTCATGAGTAATGCCAATGATAAATGATGTAAAAAAATTAAACCATCGATACTGGTTGAAGCTGGCAAGCAAAATGAAAAAAAATCAGAATGGAAGGGGAGGGAGGAAGTGAGGGGGAGGGAGGAAGGAGAGGGAAAAAAACAACACAAACGTTCCAGCCTAGAAGCCTCTTTCCATTGCCTAGGGGATACAAAGTGGCAATGCATTTATTCCCATCACGTCTAAATGTCAAGTTTTCGCGCCTCGTTTTTCTCCTCTTTCACCCCGGCACCACCCCAATGTTGAATGGTAAATACCAGGAGTTTTATCTTTATCACGAGGTTACCGTTCATCAAGTAATCTTATTCTAATGGTGGGGCATGCCTAATTAGCCTTTGCAACGGCACGGAATATCACGTCTTTCAATATCGCATAATGATAACTTAGCTAGTTTCTAAACATGGGGGGTTCTAGAGAAAACTTTGTAATCTTGGCCTCTTTCATCAGCAATTTTGCACTAATTAAATCATGTTTTAGTCAAGAGCATCTAGAAAGATGATCTGGTTTAGCTAATTATCGGTACAAAGCTGGAGTGAGCCTGTGTCACATATGCGTGACGCAGCAAATAAACAGTAAAGACTGGAGTGTCTTGTGGGAAGTAAACATTTACTTTGAAGTACTATGATGACCGGAAAGACACTTCTACTCATCAAGCCTGTAAACTTCGATTTGAAAAAAAAAGGTTTGTTTACCCCGGCTTTTAGAAAATGTTTGCAGATATTTCATTTAAGGGAATTTAAACAAATTTTACCTCACACCCAATTACATTTAATAAGAATTTAGTACTTTTTAACGAAAATTATTTCGGTGAATTCTTTTAGTCCACATCCTAGTCATTCAAGCAACAATTTCCTTCACCAATCAGAGCAGCACATCATCAGTCCCTCCCGCCCGGTGATTGGCTAGTGTCACCTTTCCCGCGCACCAATTGGACGCGTTGCCCCAGCAACGTTTGTGTGTGTGCACGCGTGCGTGTGTGCGTGTAGCCCATTTCCCAAGGTCGTTAAGTTAGTGCGTTGGTGCTTGTGCCTGTCCCAATACGCACGGCAAGGTGACCACAAACATGTTGCCGAGTAGTCTTCTTCTTCTACTTCTATGCCTCCTGCATTGTCAAGCCTCCATTGCCTTCCCTTCACCCTTTGCCTCCACCTTTGATGTGGTGGAGGAGAGTCCACCTGGAAGTATGATTCCAGGTGTGGCTGATTATCTCAAGAGGATAGTGCTCCTCCGAGTGGAGATGCCCAATTCCACCACCTTCCAGCTCATGGGGACAGACGCGTTGACCAAGAGTTTCGTGATCAATGAGAAGTCGGGAGAGCTGCGCACCATGGGTCGAATTGATCGTGAAACCCTATGCAGCAGTGAAGTGGATCCAAGAAGCGATCTAGCCACCGATTCCAACTGCTTAAAACCTCTCAATGTCTTGATCAAGTCCCTCGGAATCGGTGGAGCCTCGGGCAGCAATATGAGGGAGAAGATAATGCTGCGGATACTTGACATCAACGACAACGCTCCCCGATGGCCAGGAAAACGTCTACTGACGGTGAAATTTGTCGAGGCCTTTCAATCCCTTTCAATGTACGGGAAACAGGAAATGACCACGCAGTCTCAACTCCTGGACCGCGCTATCGATCCCGACTCTGGGCCAAATGGAACCGTCTCTTACAGTCTCAAAGGTACTGGGGCTGATATGTTCCGGCTGGAGTACGCAGATCATGAGAATGGCCGATTTGTGCATCCGGACGTTAACAGTCCCTTGCGATTAAAACCGGTGGTCCCCCTGGATAGGGAGATCTTCGAGTTCTACAATCTCACCCTCTTTGCCTACGACTCGGGCAATCCACAACGATCCAGCAGCATTCCTCTCCACGTCTACATCACCGACGTCAATGATCACGTCCCCGTGTTCCATAGCTACGTCCCCGGTCATGTATCCGCCTATCCACGAGAAAGTAAGCAAGGCGAGTTGGTGAAGTACGTTCCTGAACGGGGCCACTTGATGGAGACGGCGAGAATTGGTAGTGTTGTCCTCCAACTCAATGCCACAGATGAGGATGCGGGAGACAATGCTCGCATCACCTACTCCATCTTCCCCAGCGACGCGGCTTTCGTCCAGACCTACTTTGCTTTGGATCCTATCACTGGCTACCTTACGGTGAAACAGAGGCTGGACTACGATTCTGGACCGCGTAGATTCACCTTTAAAGTGCGTTCCTTTTGCCTGTCCATTCAGGAAAGTGGATCACGTGATTAGGATTGGCATGTTCCCCCAATTGTTGTTTTGTTAGGGGGAGGTGGGACTGGAAGGGGGGCTGGGGGTTGTGGTGACTAGACTAAGTGAACCGAAGTGGAAGGTTTTCTAGCCGCGGGGAGGGGAAGTAGCCAATTCACCCCATTTCATGCCCACTTACCTGGGGAGGAAAGATGACAGGGTGGATGGTGGATTGAGGAGAAAAGTTTTCACCCTCCCCCACGCCACCTCCCTTATGATACATCTATTTGCTGGCACCTCAACTGACTCCTCATCTCATGCACGCCAAATGCACATAATTAAAATACTGTAGAAAAAGGGCAAATCGCTTTTATTGAAAAAGGCTTAATTTTACCCCGCTTTTTTGAGGGGGTGCATTTACCGATTTTTCCGAATGTTAATCTTTTGATTTTTATTGGTTGAGTTTATGTCGGGGAAAAAATTATTAAACCATAAAGAAAGTAAATAGATATTTAAAATTGATTAAAATTAGTTGGAAAAAGTGCCCAAAATGTGGATAAAAAGTGCAAATTTGTGGATCAAAAAAGGGTGAAAGTGTAAGCCCTCTTAAGGTAATAAGACAGAGACCATTCTGTAAATTTCTCTGCCGTCACTAATAGCAACAATAATTTGTTGTCCTGCTCGTTATTTTCCAATTCTTCTTCTTCTTCTTCTCACGGAGAAGTAATGTATATGAGCATAGTAAAAAACATTTGCTTTGTAAGAAAGTGCAAAAAGTTTCTTTCTTATAAGAAAATTAGATATAATACTAAAAGGTGTGAGTTATAACGATAAAATGTATTCTATTTGCAAGTTTTCGACTGTACCGGAATTTATCGATTTTTTTTCGGCCCCGCATGCCACTGATTGGTTTATTCTCAAGAAGGCCTGGAAATATCCCATTTAACCATAAATAGCTAGAAAAGTAAAAATTTTAAAAATTTTTAATCCTCTCGTCATGACAGAATATGAATTCTTTTTTACCGCATTTTGACGAGGTCTACCTGTCACAAGAGACTGAAGTTTCAGGTAGGAGTAAATCTGTTTTGTGTATGCGTGTGAGCTAACTCAGTTGATGGAGTAAGTGTTGAATGCAGCTGACGGAATGTTGATCATTTCCTGTTCACTCCTACGCCATAAACGCCCATCCGGTTTAATGTTGTTTGTCTCACCCCACCCCCCCCCCCCTTCTCCCGATAAATGGGTTTTCCTGTTCCCTTCTGTTACCCCCTGATCACCATCTCCATACCTCACCAATAGACCACATGAGAGGAGAGGATGAGTGCGGAAAGCGTCTGCTTTTTTTGCGCCCTTGCGCCTGCGGAAAAAAAGTGCAGGAGACATCAGATATATCCACCCGAGAAGGGTAAGCATTATCTCACAAATAGCTTTTCTGACACCCACAAACACACCCCTGAGAGAGGAGAGTGGGTGTGTTGAGTGAAGAACGCGATAAGAGGTAACGTGAGAAGTAGGTGCGGCCTCCCATCCCCAACTAAGCTCACACATCAAATCCCCGATGTTATCACTCGCTTCCGTGGAAGTGCGTAAAATCGTCAAGGGGAGAGGTGAAGAAGCGACTAGATTTGCCGTCAGATAGGCGAAGAGGTGTTAACAGGCTGTTTGGTTGACGTTGGTCTAGTTGGGGTTGGGTTGTTGGCGCGTTGGTTGTTCGGCCCACTTAAATAAAAGGAAGAGCAGAAGACCGAGTTAGCTAATGGGATAACCACTGGTTTTGGCCCGCATGTGTGTGTGCACCTGATGTGGTTTTTAATACTACACTGATGACTCAACGGCCCAGACAACCAGTATTTTTTTCCTGTCCAGATGGATGGATGGACGGACGGACGGAAGGACAGAGGGACAGATGGAGGGACAGCATCTGGGTTTCGGCATATGCGCAATTTATTGACTATTTTTCATTCCTTGGTGCATTTGTGGGACTAGTAAAAACTTGGTTTTTTAAGATTTATGCTGGCAAATCTTTCAGCCATCCTCTACACAATCGTGTAGATGTTATCCAATCAGATGGTGAAATATGTCCTCGTTAATCAAACTGTTTCCATGACAACAACAGCCTCCCAAACAGGTTGTTTTATGACAAATTAGGGGAATAGCGCAAAGGAGGAAGCCGAAAAAAATTAAATATCTGACTTCAAGGATTTGTAAAAGCCTTTGGGATTTCGATTGGTCAATAACGTTTGCTGATTGGCCCTTCAATGGGAAATCGCCTCGATGATTAGTTAACTGATTATTTTTTTAAATCAATGGAAAAGAAATCGATAATGATTTGGTAAAAAGCATCCTAGATTTTTTTAAATCTGCAATTTTTTTTGTTAAACCCTCTTTTCTAAAGTCTCCATTACATTTTGCGTTTTTTACAATTACATAACATATTGCCTTAACAACTGCAATGGCATGAACTTGAGTTTAAAATTTTATTTAGACTACTTCTAGAATTTGAAAGTCGGGTCTATTTGGGGTACCACGGTTAACAGCAAGTCAGCACGATCACTGTGTGGTGTGATCACCTTTTATCTCCTGTCAAGGTGACACATCTTGATGAGTCCTCAAAAGAGGAAGAAGGGGAGCAACTAGTGTGGATGACGGAATCTACCAAAAACAAACTACTCACAGTCACGTATGGAAGATTTGTGCACGTAAAGTGTTATTTGTAGACCATCTTTCATAGCTATCATATTAACTCGCAGCGTCACATATACGTGACAGTCGTTTTATATCGGTTTACGGCCTTAACAGGTTAGTGCCAAGAAGAGGGTACACAAAATCACCACCCAAAAGCTCTTTGCAACATCAAATAGTTGTCTTACCTTGTTCTTGTCATTAAGCTGACCTTCCGCTTAGCCCATCCAGAGTTCCGTAATCCAGCATCTTCCAGCATAGAACCTTTAATGTCATCGCCAACATCAAAACACCGGGACTTCTTTGGTGGACTTAGGCCACCGAAGACGATAAAAGTGGGGAAAATTGAGGGCATTTTCTACCCTGGATGTGGCATCAACCGAGTCGGTCGGCCTACCTCCTAAATGTCAAATCGGTCTACTATATCAGCTATAGTTGCCCCATTCGCGATGGGGTGGGGGAAAGTGTTGTCATCCTCTACCATCAGTGAGAGGGGGTTTACGTTTGATGGACTAAAACGGGTCAGATAAGGTCTTGTTAGTCTGCTACCCTCACTCTCTCCAGCTCGTGTTCTTCTTCTGCCCCAACCCCATCCCACCTCCCTTTCCTCCTTTAATTCCCGTTTTGCGAAGCCGCTGCTGTAAGATGCTGTTTTTTTATTCTCAAGATGTAGACAAATCAATTAGAAGATTAAGGTCACACACAGAGACCCTGAGGGTGCCAATTCTTCAAATACAAGCACTCAAATTTGGCGGATTTAGAGATGATCAAGTAGAGACTGGAGAGCACGTTTTTATCACCCAGTCGACCGACACCTAAACGCCGCATTGTTATTGGTTTTCTGGGGGGGGGAAGAAGGTTTGGGGAAATTGTGATTTTCCCCCTAGTCAACCGAACAGTCCCCTGTGAAGAGGAGAAGGAAAGAAGCCATCCATTTTACAAGATGGAACCGTAAATCAGTCACCCCTTGCAAATCATTTTCCATATTTTCCCAATCGGTGTTTATTTTTTCCCTTCAATGAGAAATCACATCCAGGAGTGGGAAGGGGAGCGGAGGTTCAATTTAACTGGCTTTAAGGTGGGAAACGGGCGACACCACGTGTATGTATCTATGTATGTGTACATCCTCGTCTCCCCTATCTGTGCCATGCGCACAAGTCCCTCCTCCTTTTTCCTTCCTCCTCCTTCCGCATGACCCCTTTTTGGTGACTACGGTTCCACATAAACTAAACAGACTCGCTTAATTTCCCTGGACAGCGTTAAGGGCTTGTGTTACTCCCTTTTGCAATAGGACTGCAAAATCCCCTCTTAGTGATCGTTTTGCCTTTAGAAGACAAGAGGAAAAGGGAAGAGGAAAGGAGGGAAAAAAGATCCTCCCCCTAAGCAAATACGTTTCATATCTAACTTCTACATCCCAACTATCTCCTTTCATTAGCATGTAGCACAACGATTGTTTGAAGGCTAACACCGAAAGGTGGAGACGTGGGGGGAGAAAATCATGGACTTGCAGAAGGAGGCGGGGGATTCAATGGTATCTCCCCACCTCCCAATCTTATGAATGCTGTTAGGCATTCTCATGAGTAAACTCTTGTGCTGTCCAGTAAGAAGGAGCAAATGACTTTCTTTCAACTACATTAGCAGTTCTAAGTCTTCCTATGGCCAGGATCTAGGAGATAGGCTCGAGATGCGAAGACCAGCAAAACAGGGAAGTTTGAATTGCGTCCATACGGGTTAAACCAATCTTCGGCGTTGAAGATCAACCCAACAGGCAGACGGATTGGGTAGGAACAGTCTCAGCTGCTATGAAAGCTACAGGAACTTTCTTTTCATCGGAAATCACCATGTAGAAAATGTGGGCCTCAAATACTGCAGCTGTCTACTATTTAAAATGTCAGTAGTATCTGACACCCAAATATTATCAAATAATTTTTTTTTTCAAACATGATCTTAAAAAAGATGTAATTCTAGAGAAGAAAAATGCCTTATCGTTTGTTTCAAGTTTTTTGCAAGATGAAGAATTACGTCTCGTCTGAATTACTTTCAGGTGCTTGCCGTGGACGGTGCTCCTGAACCCTATCGTCTGACCGGCACTGCATTGGTGGATATCGAATTGACCGACTACAATGACGAACCACCGAATATTGAGATCCTCATAGCTCAAAATGGCAACTTGAATAGCATCTCTAATGTCAACATGAACGGCGGTATCACGCCAATGATTCCACCGGGATCGAGGCATCAAGAGCTCGTGGCGTACATCGAGGAGTCACCGTCACCGGACATCGTTATTGCCTATGTACAGGTGAGGCAAATCACTTCTACTGAGCTCTGAAATACCTCAAGAAATATCTTCATTGATGTTACTTGACCACGAAGCTACTGCTAGGTAATAGGAGTGCCGGACTAAGAAGGTCAGAAATTTGAGACATCATCTTTAAGTAGATGGCCACATAAATCGCATCATCATGCTGGAAGGCAAAGAGGCTAGGTTGTGATGCGACCTAGAAGTATTTGGCAATGTCTAATGGTGATGAAGGTCAGGTGTTGATGGACCACATTCTGGACGGAGGCAATCTCAGGTCTGTGGCCTTTCATTACGGACTACTGGAGGATTATCCCCTCCCGACAACAAAATCCCCCACTCTGTTTTTTCGCCCTATTTGCGGTTGATTTACCACAACAGAGCAGGTGTTCCGTCTAAATCCAATGCCAAGATGCCAGATGGAGGGGATGGGGTGGAGAGGTTAATTGCTTCACGCAAACAAGTCCACAATCAGTGCCAGCTGTCCGCCAGGTCTCCTCCTCCTCCTCCCACCTCTCCTCTTATCCTTCCCATCTGTTAACCCCCAGAATTGGTGACTCCTTACTTTTCTCCTTTCCCCTCCCTCTACTATGGCAAAACCGTCTAAATGATGTTGTTAGTTGATTCAAAAATGATGGGTGTTCATTTCAAACAGGGACTAGGGGGTACTCGAACAACGGCAACGTTTTTAAAGAAGCAAAACAGTCCAGGCTTAATTTTTTCTCTTTTACCCTTCCTGATATGTAGATATAATAAAAAAGGAGATGTTACTGTGTTTGAGTTCTTCTGAAATAGACAGGATAGTTAGCATCAGTCGCTGAATCCCGGAGGCATCAAGTAGCCGAAGGCCTTGAATCTTTTGCCTGACACCATCCACTACCATCCAGATGCAACTAGAAATTAATGGATATGCGGTTTATCCCTCCATCACCCTTTAATTGAAGGTTTATTAGTGATAGGACTGAATGCATTGGCCATAGTTTGATATACAAATCTCATTTTGACTTGAACACCCTTTTTAATTTCACGCGTGGAGGTTGTTTTTCCCTCGTCCCAAAAAATCCATCAACTAGGTGTTAAAAATTTCCCCCAACAGAGACAGCGTCAAAGGCTGCAGATTTAGCTGCTTTTGCTCATACTGATGAAGTGGTAGAAGAGGAACAGTGGCGGGCGGGGTGGACAGGAGGAGGAGGAGGATGGATGCAAGGTGGCAGCGGAATTTTTGTTCACCCGAGGCTACAGAGGTGGTGGTGGTGGTGGACACACGCAAACACACAAACCAACGGAGTTTTTTGTGTATGTGTTTGTGAGAGGAAAAAAGTCCCCTCAAAAGGCTTCTCTTCTCCTCCCTCCGACTTTTGCCCTTCTCCCCACCTCTCTCTCTCTCTCTACATCAGGGGTGTGAATTTTCTGCTGTGGCTCCTGACTATGTGTGAAGTGGATTTTCAACTTTCGGTGCTTTTACCAACTGGCAAGAAGGTCGCCACATGTGGAGACAAGAAGTATTTGATTAATTTTTTGGGGTTCTATTTCATGCATGAATAATTTTGCCAACGTCAAGGTCTAGAAGAAGTGCCTATTTCTCTTCGGTAGATTCATAGGGCGTCTGTTGAAACTGTGGACGATCATGAGTCAGCCTCATTGGTGGGGATCCACCAAACAAATTTCGTCGTTCCTATCGGTCACATTCAACTTTCCTTCACTCCTCGTGGTCATGATTGCTGCCAATGACGTCAGCATCTGCCACAGTGGTTTGACAGGGTTTTGAAGTTGTCATTCAACTGCAGGCGATTGTCAATGAAGCTTCGGCCTAATTGTTCCTCTCCTTGTCAAGCCAACTGATTTGACAGATGGATTAATTAACAGCAGTTCCAAGCTATCACGATTCCAGCCACCATTGACAGATCAGATCCAAATAGTCACATCCGCCTTTGAAGAACTGCCAACCCTCCCTCACTTGCCTATTGACAAATTCTATTTGTACTTTGCTCTTCATTTTCGTGCATTTCTATGGTTTGTAGTCAAATGGAACGTCTGGACTGTGCTTTCTCTCCCTCTACCCCCACACCACACCCCACCTCTCAAACCACATCTGCCACCGTCAATGCGACCATCTTGGACCAGTAGGTCTTGCGCTCCTCACAACCACTCACGTACACGCAGACAGACAGATGCTACGCTCACAACAGCCAAGATTTGATTGACACCTCTGGTGCAGCTGCCGCATCTACCTTCTCCACATACAAAGCCACGAGGACAAGAACGGGAACAGCTGCAGTGTCAGAAAGAAGTAGTAGCGTGACAAATTTACTCACGGGTGTTCAAAAAGTCGTTCCCTACGAACATTTTAAAAGTGTGAAATCCTATTTTGAACCCACACTGTAATGTTTGACACATTGAGTACTGGCGTCACATATATGTGACGCAAAATCTCACCCCCTCACTCCATTTCATTAGCCGATTTTAGTAGCAAAAATATGTGTAAAATCGCCGTAGATCGCCAACAAGACAGCTAAATTGCTAAAGGATGTTGTGTTACCAAGGCAACAATGCTACATCCGTTGGAGTGGTCAGTCCGTTAGTGCGCGTGTCGGAAAACCCAGGCCCGAGATGCACACGCACCATCAAAACCCCCTCTAGAACATTCCTTCTATTCTCTTTTCTGCCTCCTTGTTAAAGTGTCTATCGACAAAAAAGAAGCGAGTGAGGCTCTGAAACAGAACCCATCACAGCTGGCACCGTCAGCGATCTTGTCGGGTCGGTGGGAAAAAAAACACACAAAACCCAAAAGAAGCAGTGAAACCCTACAAAATGATGAATCATTCTTGCACTGTTAATGGTAAAAGACAGACGCCCATCCAGCTTTCCTCCCTCCCTTTTGCCCATCTCTCTCCCCCTTTTTCGGCGGTTGCTTGTTGTGGCAAGAAAGAGGATTTTTGATGGAAAGAGAAAAGAAGAAATGGGAGAAGAGGTAGGAGGAGGAGAGAAAGTGCTTTCTCTGTTGGCAAACTGCTTTCGGGATAGGATCGGATTTCACCTGCTGAGTCAGTGCTTCCTTTTGGAAAGGCAAATGACAGATGATGGAGTTACTTGCCCCATGCCCATTATTTCCCTTAACTTTCTTCCCTTCCCTTCCCTCCCCTCCTCTCCTACTCCCTTGAGCTGCGACTTAAGTCACTACACAACAAAGCGGGGCTTTCCGCTGCTGTAGTGGGATGCACTTTCCAGGGTCCTGCTTCCAGATCGAACCTTAGGTCAAGAAAATTGTCAAGTTCCTGCTCTAATCCTTTGTCGGTTGCATACGAGGTGCGCTACCTGTAAAGGCTTCATTCCCCAGAAGGCGGTTATTCCGCAATCCGTTGAGGGGCTCCGCCAACCACAGCCGTTGCCTTTGCTCTCAACAACGAACAAAGGATGTCCGACACATCGCGTGCTCCCTCCTCCAAAGCCTAAGCTCATCCGCCGTCTCGGAGCTGCCTTGGCGATATTTATCTCGACTTCAAGTGACACCTGGTCAAATCGCTAAAAGGACTCTTTTATTCTACGAAATTTCAAAATTTTCTACATAACTGTCACCTAGGAAAAGAAAGCAATATTCATTTCCCCCTTAGAAATTAGTCCTTTGCTTTTGTACCATGCGGAAATTTTGTTTTTGCTTTTAACGCGTGCTCATTCAACCGCGGTCACCCCATCAAAGCAACATATGCGCACCTTGTCGTTTCATTATGTTACACTGCTCCCATTTACTCATTTCCCCTCCACAGGTATGCGCACATTAGTCAGTTTTCCCCCGTTGTCATGGTTGCATTGTTGTACCCCTCCCACGCCGATTGGCCGCCTCAAGGTCACGTGGACTGTTCCGTGTTTTAGGTCTCGGATAAGGATGAGAATGGTGAAGATCAGGTTGAATGCCATCTGGGAGCCCGTGACAACTTTACACTTCAAGCTGACTCCTCTTCCTCTGGTGGCAAGATGGATCACTTCGGATTCGAGACGGCCTCCCTGAATGAGCGGGCGAGTAGGCGAATCAGTGAGTATCGAGTTTTGGCTAAGGTTCCCTCGGGAGGTGACCAGTCGACAGGTGAGGCATCAAGCCTTCAAGATCGCCTGGATCGTGAGACCACACCGAGTCAGTTGCTCACCATAATCTGTGAGGATCGGAATGGTAATCATGCGGAGATACGAATTCGTTTACATCTCCTCGATATCAACGATAATCCGCCACGATTCCTCAACGATAGCTACTTCAACTTCTCGCTCGCTGAGAACCGCGAACCAGTAGGGAATCAACAAGTTTGGCTAGGTAGAGTGCAGGCTGTGGATCCAGATTTGGGCGAGAATGCCAGGATTTCGTATCACCTCGCTCCGGATCAGAGCGCGCATCTTGATGGCCAATTCGGATCGAGTCCGCAACAGCTCTTTCGTGTTCAACCAGACACTGGGGATATCTACGCACAAGTCAGTTTGGATCGTGAAAATGCGCCTGAGAATGGTGTGTACAGCTTTAATGTCCTTGCTATGGATCATGGAAAGCCTCAGCAACTCACCGGTACAGCTCGAGTAGATGTGACCGTCTTGGATGTGAATGACTGGCCACCAGAATTCACTCGAGACATCTACACATTCGAGGTGCCTGAAGACCTTGAACTTCGTGAGGTCGTGGGAGTTGTAGAGGCTGTTGATAGGGATGCAACTGCTGGAGCAAATTCCATCACATACCACCTCAATCCACCTCGTGCTGGATTGGTTCAACGATCCTTGAAGAATGAGACAGTGGAACGCAGGAAACGTGACTCCATGATGCAACAACAACAGCAGCCTCTATTCATGCCACATTTAGAGCCATCCAAAGTGAGGGATGAAAGACCACTTTCCTACTTTTCCATCGACAGTCGAACTGGAGAGATTCGGGTTATACGAAAGCTCGATCGTGAATCCAACGGCTACTTTACCTTTGAAGTCCTGGCAATCGACTCCCTATTGGCTGGATCATCCGCCCAGTCGATCTTACCATCCCAACCGTCACAGCCTACTAGACGAGGCTTCAAGGGTGGTGAAGTGTTCACGGCAACTGCAACAGTCGTGGTGACACTGACAGATGTCAACGACAATGCGCCCGAGTTCCGCTATCCCAACACGTCAATCCTCCTTCACATGGCGCCAGGCGAGACCCTGGGCCACAAAATTCTAACCGTGCAAGCTGTAGATGCTGACTATGGGGAGAATGCACGCATCTCGTATAGCATTCGTTCCGAGATCCCCATTCCACAGGATGGACCGGGAACCGGCAACTTCGCGATCGACGAGACCAGTGGACTCATCTTTCTTACAAGGTAGGAGAAATAAAAGGAAATTGTTCTTTTCTCTTTTCTCTCCTTTCCCTCTTTCCTAGTTAATTAAAGCGAGGAGATAAAGCTTTGCCTAATCCCCCTACCTTTGGGAGGATTAGGTCATAACCCCCACCCACTCCCACGATTATCCAGTAAAATCTTAATGCGTCATTTCCATTGTTTTCACCGGATTAAATTTCAGATACAAAAATTGCTTTCTTGAGGAAATAGTTATATAGAACGCCTTTTTGATGAGCCATTTTTGAGGGGAAAAGTATATTTTGCTTCTGGAAGAAGAAAAAAAGATAAGACAGAAACCTATCCCCATGTTTGTCCTCTTTTATCAACTATCTACTTGACATGTGATTGTTTAATGTCAAGACGAGGAGATAGTCATCACCTTGGAGATCTGAGAAACATCGTAAGGGAAAAAGGAGGCATTATTTCCGTCCCTTCCTCATACTACCCGGCTTAAGGTGTGTCGTCCGTCCGGTGAGAATGACAAGGGGCACCTTCTGACCGATTCACCGGTTCCAGCTGTTTCGGAGGAGCTGATTGATGTGGACAGTGAGTGTGCATAGCAATGTCTACTGGGCAAAAGCGATGATGACGTTAGTCCATGTCACGTCATGTGGCAACCAGTTCCTAGATGGATTTCACCTCCTTTCTGACGCGTAATCCTAAAACTTCTTCATGATCGAGAAGAAGGCGATCTTCCAGATTGCAAAACAAACAGATACGAAGGAATTGTTGCCAAAAGCTTCCCCCTTCAAACTCCTTGTAAAGGTAGATTCATGGTGTCGAGCAACTGGCATTTTACTGACCAACTGACCGTGTATCTCTGTGTTAAAGTGCATATGAACAGCACAACACACTTTAAAAGGACAGACATTTCCCAAGAATTCTTTCCACCTAATTAATAACAAAGGAGGAACTGTGGGAACCTTTTTTTCCATCATATGACGCCTTAGAGGCGTGTATAACTATTTGGATGGGGCGCTACTCATAACCTTGAAAGTAGTATCTGGAATGCCCCAAATTCACGAGGGACGAGAATAGAATCGACTTCTGGAGAAGGTACTACTTATGGTTTCAAAAGTAGTGTCCAGAAAGCATCAATCTCAGACGACTACTTTGATTGCCTACCACAAGGGAGTATCGAAGTGATCCCTCAGAGAATACGCCGCTTATAACTTTAGAAGTAGTATTCCAGCGGCAGCAAATTCAGCTGTTGGGAAGGTTGCTACTTACGGCTTTATAAGTAGCGCCCAACATGCGTCAAATGTAATTGCTTCATCACAAGTGCCAGATGGCAGCCAGCCGAGTCATGAAAACGAGTCATTCCCCTTTTTCTGTAAGTAGCTTCCCTGCAGCGTAAAAGGGGCATTTTTCCCCCCAAAAAGGCTGCTTACAGCGCAATAACGAGGCTCTTTTTTCCCAGAAGGGCAGCTGACCCCAATTTTAGCGATGCTTTTTTTTATCGTATTTTATCTTCTTGTCAAGGAGAAGAAATAGCCTGGTTTCAGGCCTCTTCTAGGTTGATAAGATGATTCAACCCTTGGATGGATTTTGGCAAGACAGGTAGAAAGGGGAGGCATTTAGCACCACTGTGATAAACGAAGCAGCCTGTGGATCGTGTTGAAGAGCCTCGATGGCTAAGACTGCCTTTCTAGGCACAGTGAAATTTGCTTGCAGATGGCGTAAGGGGGAGAGGGAGGGAAGGAGGGGTCGAAAAATGGAGGGCCAATCAGTCAAAATACATCCAGAATATGTTTCCTGATGCTTTAGAACCGAAAAGAGGGGGAAAAGGTGTTTATTCACGTAAGGAGATTTGACGAGCCGAGAGGGGGACCGATTAACCTGAGACAGCAAACTTCCACCTCCAGCGTATGATTCATCACGCCAAGGAGCTTGTTCCTTGGTAGGTGCGAGGTTTCCTCGAGGAATAGAACAACTCTTCAGATTTTCTTCAGGCAAAATGTTTTTTCCCTGCTCATTTTTTTAAAAGCAAACACGAGTTATTGAGTTGATATGACTCGTTTGACCTATGCGACAGAATCACAAGGTTCTCTTTGAATTTATAACCCATTTTAGGAAGGAGACTGAACTGGGATATTCCTGATACTTTCCGATTGCGAGTGCGAGCTTTCAGGAGCGATAAATCACGTCAGGTGAAGTTTTTGGACGGACTCAACGCATCGCCACATTGACAAGCAACTAATCAAGCCTCATGGAAAGCGTTAGGGACAGGCATAAATTATTTTTCCCTTCCATGATCGATGGTGTCTGTTTGACATGAAGTGACTAAGACAGGGAAGCATGGCAGGTGAGGGGAGGGAGAGAGGAGGTGGAGATTAATGAGGTGAAGAGAGGAGGATGGCAAGACGAGAGAGAGGTAATGATGGTGGGGTTTCGGAGCTCAGATTTGACTGACTTGATGGTCAATGTCACATGCATGATCGGAGGAGCCTTATCAACTACCTGTCTACGGCTGACATTCATATGCATCCACAAGGGCTGACAAATGAACTCGCATTGCTCCTACCAATGACAGCGAAGGGATTGGCACTGAGGTTCCTCCTGATGTTTTTTGCATCTGAATACATGTCACTGTCTTTCACCTGTCATTGTCCAATTGTTCTCTTTTAGTTCCTTTTTTTCTTCTAGATGATTTAAATCCCAAAAATCATACGTGTCTCATTTAAGTTTCTTTAAGAAAGTTTGAGCGTCACATATATGTGACGCTGGTAGCAAACATCTTAAAAAAACGCAGAACTCGGCTCATCCGAGTTTATTTGCATGGGACAGTAATTCGAGATTATTGATTATGTATTTTTACTTTGAAGACCCATTCAAGGACCCGTGAACCACCGTCTTGTCATCGAAGCCTGCGACCACGGTGGCCAACCAAAGTGTGTCTCCTCACCGGCCATCCAAATCGCCGTTTCTGAGGACGCAAAACTCGTTGGTGGTAGTGTTGGCAGTGGAGGCAACGTTGCTGGTAATGGCGGCGGTGGTGGAGCTATCAACGGCGGAGGCGGTGTGGGAGGCCGCGCCCTTGACCGCAGTGACGTCTCCGGTTCGGACCATCGATTCAACAACTTGGATGGTTTCTACGACAGTCTCTATGACCACAATCCGCCACATCGTGTTGAAGTTATTGCAGCTTGTTTAGTGGTTGTGTTCGGAGTCCTCCTTCTAGCTGCTATTGTCCTCGTCTGTCTACTCAAACGACGACCTCTTGTGAACGGTCAGCAGAGACCGAATCACCAAAATCAGCAGCATCAAGGGAGGCTCGACTACACCTGCACTCCACTCTGGAACTGTCAGTGGTCGTTCTTCCGACATCAGAAAAGTACTAACGCGAAAAGAAACGCACAGCATTACGTACCGACGCAGACTCAAGAAGTCTTGAATGATCCAAGATTCTCTGATGGTCAAAGCATTGAATCCTCAGTGGCTAAAGGTGGTTTTCCATGTGTCCACGCACCCATGTAGTGCCTTTCCATCATAATCACTGTCCTTCTGCATCTTTACAGGAATGATCTCCACTGATTCCATCACAAACACACTGGAGGAGGAGAAGAAGCCTCTTTACTATGATGTAAGTGATTGGACTTCTTTCCGTCAGAAGAAGACCTCTTTTTACCTTCTATGCTCCACTTCCAGGGTCTTGGAGTGCTAGCACTCGATGCCATGGCTTCAAGAGGGCTTCGACATCCAGTCGAGTATTCCACTGGTGAGGGTGGTGGTGGCGGCGGAGGAATGCCAGTCCCTGTAGTTTTCACTGGACATCCTCCTCGTGTCTACGGAACCCTTCCAGTCGTGTCTACAATCCTTTCCGATGGTCAGACCGCCACCAATACCCTCGTAGCTAGACCCGGTTTTCAACCCCGATCCGGAAGAGGTCATCCAACCAACGTAACTCCCCCCTCTCCCGACTATCAAAGTCTTGATCAACTCGCCGCACGCCCAATATGGCAGGCAGGTCCCCACCACGGTGTAGACATGTTCGTGGGTTCACCACGCACCAGTCGTCCAATTAACAACAACTCCGTCTCCTCCTCCTCCACAAGCTATGGATGTCTCATCGATCCCCCCTGCATCAACACCCCACGTCGAAATAACCACTACGAAGTATCATCCAGCAGTGGTGGTCGTCCGCGTCAGCGAAGTGCTACATTAGGACGTCTCGGTGCTATGACAGAAGAACCCGAGGCAGGCGAAAACGATGGAACAACTGGACCAATAGGCGGAAAGAGAGGAGGAGTGTTAACAGGTGGAGGTAGCGTCACTACAAGGTCTTACTCCCAGCTGCAGGCAACCTCTGGAGTGGAGACTGATGCTGTGGAAAGGGATCGACCAACACGTTATACTTATCAGGCGATTCGGGAAGCCAGTTTTGTGTAGACTGTGGGGGTGTGTTGGAGGGTGGAAGGGGGGGGGAGGCGAGAGTTGAGAGACGTGTACATAGGGCAAGCTATTTTAACCTCCATATCCCTTGTAACCATAGCTGATTTCCTCGAGTGTATTACCGTCTGTCTATTATAACTTGCTCTACTTGTGACCTTCTTCAGTTGGGTTTTCCGGAGTGGGGGGGGGGGCGGGGAGAAGGAGGAGGATGGTGACGGAGGGAGTGGGATCATACCTTGAGAAAAAAAGAACTACAACTATGTTTTATATACAATTTTTCCTCATTCAGGCCTCCAATTGGATTTAGCAGGGGGGGGGGGGGGAGCGGGTTGGAGGGAAGATGCTAGGACAGTGTGGGCGGTGGGGGAAGTACTAGGGTATGCGTCTCTCTGTCTCAAACTCGCAGGCCCTATCAACGTCTCCTTGATTCGGGTGAAAAATATGGAAAAGAGTAGTGCAGTTCTCCATATACCTTGATGTTTGATATTGGTGGTGGTAACGGGGATGGCGGGAGCAGAGAAGCCTTTTTTTGCCTTTGAGAAGTTCCTTCCTTTTGAAAGTCTTTTCTCAGTTCCTGAGTTCTTCTAGCTGTCACCACTGCCCAAATGACATGCATAACAAAGTGCGGGTGGAGAAGGGGGAGGGGGAGGACTGAGGTAGGGGGGGTGCGGGAGTGAATTTGGAATCAACGCATTTAAGACGCAATTTACTAATCGTAATTACCTCGGGCCTTCCGAGCACTCACCTCAAAGCATTGGAAAATAAGCGGGGAAAAAAACATGTAAGGCTAAATTGAAGGCATTGGAGCAGGGCCCACCCCCCGCCCCTCCTCTTCTTCTACCACTCTCTCTCCTCAAGGAAGAGGAGAGAGCAGTCCTGACCGCAGCACACCGAAATGTCACCAAAAGAGGGTGACTCTTGCAGGAGGACAAAACGCGCAAAAAACGCAGAACAACGCGGTTGTCAAAAGGTGCGTCTACACACTTTGACAATCATCAAGGCACCGGAGTAAGAGATCTACTGAATAACCTGAGGATATGAAACCCAACACCTTCGTGTTGATGCTAAAACGATGTCCCCACGACTGGGGAGAGGGATGACAAACAGAGTATAGCCAAACCTTCCAGACTGTTGACGACATTCAGAGCAATTCAACATTACCGACCACCAAGGAAAAAGGTAGCATTGTCATCCCCTCTCCCTGTCTTGAGATGATCGAAGCGATAGGAGTAACCGTTGGGAAAGTTGATGACGATGCCCAAGAGATTGACTACGTGGATACTTCGTCAATCCCCTCGGTGTGGCCTCTGAGATCTAGATGTCGCCTCGCGGGATGTGGAACCCCTGCAGGATTTACTGAATCCTGCTGTTTCTTTTGACGAGTCCTTTGGTCCCAAGGTCATTCTACTACGTGTCCACCGCAGATAGGCACATTCCAAAGGCCTTTTGTCACCCGAGAAAAAATAAACGACAGCATACAACTTGGCATGCATGGGAAGTAAAAAACTCTACGGATTCGTAGAACTGATCACCGAAAAGTTGGATGCTTCCCTGGAGTCTAGAACCTCAGAGACCTTGAAAACCTTCATCGATAGAACCTCTTCCGCACCGACGTGGTTTAACACGGCTCAGAGAGCCACACTGGTGAAGGCGACAGGCAAACCAGATCCAAAAGGGCAACTGACCTGACTTACTTAGCCTGCCAACTTGCCCAGAGGGATTCTCCAAACCAAGTCAACTTCCACTAGTCATTCCAATTCATGACCCAACTCTAGGACCACACGATAGAATGATACCTCCTCCTCCTCGGCCCTACCAACTAAATGGCATCGTCTAGTCCTGGACAGTACAAAGCCTGGCGATTCTTTGCCCACAACCAAGTCTATAATGTCATGAATACAAAGGAGTCGACGACGTTTGGCACTCACATAGAAAACAAATCTACCATTGTTACCATGACAACTAAACGATTCACAGGTTAGCCTTTGAAGTGCCGACTGCTTTGTGATGGTGGAAGCGGTAGAGTGACCAAGGCAGAGGTCCAGAACCGACTTAACTGCTCAAGCTCCCCCAATTCCGCGTTTTGAAATCCTGTCTTGATGGTATGACCAGTAAACCCCGTCTACGAGCATTCAGTTCTTCTGTGAGCAGGTGATCGATCTTCTGCCTGCCAAGATCCCCTCCAGAGTAATCAAAGGGACAATGACTCCAACGCGGACGTCTCCATTGCCGAAAAGTCTGTCTAATTTGGTGACAGCGTAAGTGTACGTGATTACCGGAGACGTCCATCTGGCTGGTGCCATTCGCATGCATTTACAGGTGCACTGGTTGGCCATGACCCCAGTCTGAGATATTAACACAGTCACCGTGATTGCTGACTAATCGGAAGGGGCTTAGCAAGGACTGCACCTAAAAAATGTTTCAAGGGGGTTTAAAAAAAAATAAATTTTCAGAAAATCCCAGAACGTCAAATATCCCAATCATGACTACGTGATATTTACGACCCTATAGGTGGCCATTCCTAGCTTTGCCTACAGATGGAAGTAGCAACCAATGAGATTAGATGATGCAAACAAAGAGAAAATGAGAATCGCGCAGTCCTGAACGCTCTCTAAGATGGAGTTTTTCAACCATCAGAGAAATACGGAGGATGATAATGTAAGGAGAAGGAGAACAACACCTTCCTCTGGATAATCCACTAATCATGGCTGCTCTCAACTATCATTCCTGCACACCTTCCAGTTGTAGAGGCTGGAGGGAGTTGGACCGTCTCTGGTTCTCCAACGGTGAAGTAGATCCTGCCTTCGAAACGTGTCATGGGTGATGGATGGATCGTCACTCGCCTTGTGCCAGGAAGTCAGTCAATGAGTCAGCAGTCAATTCAAAGCGTGCGACAGGTTGTCAACAAGGTTTGTGAAGAATGACGAGTTGCTTGCCTTTGAAGCACGCTGACATCTGGTGTCAAGACATGCCTCAACCAAGACTTTCTCCTCCCCGCTCGCCTCCCAGTTGAAATTGAGTGCGAATCTTCGTGATCAAGAAAAAGGAGCATTGAAGAATATGGTAGAATAACTGGAAGGTTCATCCCTCAACCGCCTACCAAGACTTCTCTAGGAACTCTACGAGAAGTGAGATCACCACGTCGACAGACTGTCACAGCAAATCAAAGTTTGACACTGTTTCTGATGCATGCAGCATCGGATCATCAAAGAAGTGCACTACTTCAGCTACTCAGAGTTCTACCGGGCGAAGAAAAAACCACGTACTCCTATCAAGGATGAACGAGGAAAATGTTTCTTCTGGTGCACGATTTTAACCTCTAGGAGACCTGAGCTGCAGGAAGAGGACGAGCAGCTACATCAGGGAACCGATTCCATCCTGACGACTTGAGACGACTCGAGTTTGGGCGAGAACTTCACCCATGGCACGAAGTGGGCAAGAAGAATGTATTTGGGAGTGCCTGTCACACGAGGACGCGTGTGGAAAGAAGACTAATGGGGAAAGGCGCCCCAAGAGCGAGTCACAGCAACAAATGTGACGAGATTATCCTCCTGCTGAGAGAAAAAACGGATTAGAACAACACGGTACCAAGTCCGTCTTCAGGAAAAATTAATCACTGCAAGTCAAGAAATGACAACCCAAAGCGATTAGTCTTCTTGACAAAAGAACGTCCAAGATATCCGCGACACGATTAGGGCAACCATATCTGTGAAGCTAGATTAAAAGGTGCAGAAACCAGGGCGTCACGTATATGTGACACTGGCATTAAAGGGGGGAGATCGAAATGCTACTCTACGAATGACCGTAGGCAGCGAGAAATAAATTTCACAAGATGATAGTAAAATGAAAGAGAAATCAGAACCCATCCTCTAAACCTTCTATGCATCAATCTAGTGTACATCCACCCGTCCATCCTTCCAGAAAGAGTCGACACAGCCAAAAGGGTTGAAGTAGTTTATGTATGGCAGCAGCAACGGTAGCGATGGAAACAAGAGTAAGAAATTCAAAACGTCCCTTTTAGTGGGCGTAATGGGAGTACAGTAAACATCTCTACAGAATGCCTTGTTGACGCTCCATTAGCATATGCGGCGAGACCATCACCTCGGCGTCCTCAGGATCTGCAAGACAATAGAAGAAACGTGGATGATGGAGGAAGGAGTAAAAATCTCGGAGTCATCAGATCTCCACCATGCCCCCGCTGTAGCTTTTGGGGGCTTATGAATGACAAAGCAAGGTGCTCTCCCTCATCCCCCACCTACGTGGAACCCCCATCGGCAAATATTTCAGCAGAACTTGAAGAAGGTGAAGTAGCAGACCATGATATCAAGGAATAGCCTAAACGGCGGGATGGAGATGAAACACGTTCAGAAAGGTCTTCCATTCTTGATTAGGAAAAATTACATGGAGAAGCTGTCCTGAGAGATAAATGCCAAACCTGAAGGACTGATGAAAAATGGTGAGAGAAATCGATGTTCTCCCAAAAACTCACGCCTCATCCACTCCATACTTCTGAGGCACGCACCACTTCATCAGTGTGTGTGTGGTGGACTTCGGACGGAGTTGGCCATTTGCTCCAGTCGCAACAGTTGCTGTTGAGGTCTGTCAAGGGGTTCTAAAAGGACCTTCTCTTCTCCGGAAAGTGGCATCAGAGGCAGTCGACAATGCAAGACCGCATATCGCGTGTGAAAATACTGTCACTTCAGGAGAGACAGAAGCCACTGCCTCATGTCCTTCTCCTTCGCCTACCCTTGAAGAGGGAAGCTGAGAAAGCCTTCACCTTCTCTTGACATTTTACAATCGCTTAATCAAATATAGAATAGGCAATTTGGAAATAAGTGCGATAAGAAAAAAGGCGCCTAAAGGTGTGATTTTCTCATCGCCTCTAGACTTTGAAGCAGAATCCTACCGCAAAAGGAAAAAAAATAACAGTGACAGTGTGGTGAAGCACTCTAGACGTCTTTTACTCCACTGCAGTACATCTACAACTATGTCTTGGAAATTGAAGAGGCTACTAGAGCCCGAAAGATGAGCAGTGGATGACTCGATTTTGAAAGCTCATCCATCTCACCCGATAGGGTTCAAACTTCGATCAGTCCATAGGTCCGATGAAACCTCCCTCGAGACTTCCACACTTGAAGGAGGAAACACAAGCTAAAAAGGTTGCAGAAGAAGCACAGAAGTGCCAAGCAGATGACTACCGATCTCCGGATTTTCCGCATAAGAAAAAGAAACAATTTAAACAGCTTCCGTCTCATCATCAATAAACGTCTTTTCTAGTAGAAGGCGCATAGAGAGGAAGTAGGGAAAATTCGCGTTAAGTAGTTTCTCGCCCTCTCCAATCCCCAGAACGAAAGTGACGGTGTGGTAGGGCAGAGGAGAACAACAGGCAGGCAAGCTGGTGGTCGGTCAGACATTAGGTTGATTGCCTTTTATTTCATCTGGTCTTCTTCACCCCTCCCCTCTCACGCTCTGGAGATCACCGGCCACCGATAGTGCGCCTATGCGCGTGCGTTAGCGTCAGCGCGGACAAGCAAGACAAAAAGAAATGCGGCAACAGCAGCAGGATAGGGCGGAAAAGGCAAACAGCCACAAATGTTATCTGATCAAGAGTCCACCATCGTTTTGTTTCTGGAGAAGAAAAGCCCTTCTCACAGATGGCGGGTGAGTCATGGAGGCTGGCGGCTTTTCTTCTCGCGTAACTGCCCTACCAAATGGTGGTTGAAGAAGCCAAACTCCACTCATGTGCGCTGGGGGAGGCCAAAATAAAAAAGGGTTGCACTTGTACCATGGATCCTTCCTAGGTTGGCGTTCAGGTTCCTTATCAGCGTCACATATACATGATGCAACTTTACGCATCGAAAATTCTCCACACTAGAGCTAAATGTGGCATAGTCCTATGACAAATCGTGCATCACAAACAAATTGGAGTTTAAAAACCAGACAATAGGTCGTCAAATACTACTTATTTGGGAAATAAGGTGACTACTGCCCCCCGCTTCGAAAGGGTATTGATGATGGGGTCGAAGATGATATGAAAAATTTGAAAAAAACTCGAAAAGGTGCCCAGTTAGGCTGAACCAGATGCGAACAAGATCAGATCCACTAACTGATAAAGTGGCTCTTCTTAACATGGGAGAGAGGAAATGGTTAAACCAAACAACGTGGAGAAAAATGAGACGCACTGTTGAGAATGTCGCAAAAGTCGATGGTGTCGAGAGCACCGCTGAGTTGCGCAGCCAGTGGGTGATGAGCATAGATGCCGGGAAGCCGAGGCGCCATGCGTTCCATCACTCTCTCCTCCATGGCCAGTCGTAAGGGTGCATGCAGACCCTGAGTAGAGCGAAGCACACGCATCGACTGCATTCGTTGTGCCGCCTCTCCGCGTTGCGCCTCAGCTACTGCTGCGGGGTGTGGTGCAGTTACTGCGTCCGCATCTGGGATCAGGCCGCGGTTGCCAGCCAGGCTGTGAAACGAATTAAAATAGTGCCACTGAGGTACTAATCCTCCAGTTGTACCCACTATTTGTCGAATACGTCACTGCCTCATACCACGCCACCGCACACTTTACTGCTAACACTAGACAGCCCGTTATTGAATCCCTTAAGCACTGATGAGGAACAAGCAAATGCTCACGTTACAGCATTTGTTACATTTCGGTTGTGGGTTTGTAAACGACAACAAAATAGTGGGACTGACACCCGAGTCTCAGTCAAAAATCAACCAGCATAGCTTGAATGCTAACAGTATTCTAGTACGTTACAACTTGTCATTATTTATTGTGGGATGGATTTTAAAAAATCCCAAGGCAAAGAATCACCAACACCTACTTTATTGTTTCCGGTTCAGACAATTTGCCACAAACTGGTAAGGAACACAAACCGCAGAATTGTGACAACCGACCCCACTAAGTGGATGAGATCGTCACGTGATTGACTGCTGTAAAAGTCACTTAAAAGGTCGTTTTGAGATTAACTAGTGACATCGAGGCAACCTTCCCGTAGCAAATGAACTTACGCTAATTTACGCACAGCTACTGAATTAATTTAAGTAGAAACTTCACCGGTCCGCAACTGCCACCAAAGCAACATTTACCAAGGAAGTTCGCAAAGAACGAATTGCTTAAGATAACAAATAATTGCTGAGCCATTCATTAAACAACGGGGCCTCCCTTTGGAAATCAGAACAAATAGTGCAGCTGTAAAATACGGAAAAGAGGGACTCCGAATAATCAATAATTTGGAATGGACTTGCCCTTCAATTTCTCCAAAACATAGAGGATTAATGTCACATCCCTCTGAAACGGTAAAATGTCAAGGTAAAGTTTTATGCATTACCATTATTCAAAGGGTCTGGATACCAAAATAATGGGAAGATTCAACAATTCTTCAATTCGCCGTCGCCATGTCTGTAGTCTCCCCGAACTTCAGTGACTTCACAGAGAGAACATCATGCATACTGGTATCGTTCAGCACGGATTCAAGGAGGACTTAGTGCTACATCAATGGTGGCGGTAGGCGAACCCGATTCAAAAGGACAACGGACCTGATTGACTTGGCGGATTCACTTGTCAGGTAGGGTTTTCCAGCTCGAGTCAACTTTTAGTAGTCACTCCAATCTCGTGTTCTCTGCGAGGGCAATCCATGACAAAACTAGCTTCAAAATTACATGATCGAATAATACCGCCTCCACCTCGCCTCTAGCAGCTAAATGCAACCCACTTCACTTCGACGGCAAGATGGCATACAATCGTGGCAGAGCATCGTCAACTGCTGACCAGTACAAAGCCTGGCAATTCCCACCCCCAGTCTGGCCTACAAAGAGGACGAAATTGTGGATACAATGGAATCGACGGGGCATGCCTCTAACGTTGAGACCAAATGTCTTGTCTTTACCGTGGCGGCTAAACGACTCGTGAGTAGCCTTTGAAATGCCGATTACTTTTAATGGTGAAAGAAGAGGAGTAACCAAGACAAACGCCTTTCACCCAGACAGGATAGCCTCTCAGTCTAGTTAGACCATACGAGTATGGCGACACGAAACACCACAGCAGCAGTAAAAACACAAGACATCAATAAAATGGGGGCTATAAAATGCACCAGTAAATTCCCATGAAAGCGGGACAGGCAAGTCACACACATTCCACTCCCCCCAACCCTCACTCATGAGTTTGAACAAAAAATAAAGTAGCGAGACAGTAAGGCGGAAAGGAGGGAGTCAATCCACTCACCCAGTGTACATGGCCGGAACCAGACCAAATTCATTGCGAGGAAGTTTGAAGGTTTTACGGGATTCCTACAAAACAGACGTCAAGAGTCAGTTGCATGCAAGCGGGTGGAGTGGAGCGGAGAAGACGCAATGCGTGCACCACCACATTTATTCGCGATTGCTACATAGTATGTACAGAAAAGGAAACGTTGAGTAAACGACCTTACCACCGTCATCATAATCGGTAATGGATAGAAAAGGCTTTGAAAGACTGAGCAGAAGAGGGAGGTTCATTTCAAGTCGAGTGCGTCACAGTGTCACCACCCTCCGATGCTGCTGCGGCAACCAAGGAATGCTGGGGTTGTTGTTGTGCTTGTGGTGGAATAACCTTGAGGAGAATAGGCTGACCAGTGGGAAGAACATGAACTCCGGGAGGTGCATTCAGCACCACCGGAAGAGAGGGCTGAATGGAAACTGATGTCGTTGGCGCTGTAGCAGCAGTAGTAGTCGGGGTTTTGCTACTGGACGGTTTAGGTGTGAGGCTCACACCAAAATGATGGAAAATGAAGCGCTTGAGGTCGTCATTCTCTTGTTGGAGAATGGCGTACTTCTCCTGGGCAGGAAATGGAAAGGCGGAATGAGGAGTGCGCCGCAATAACTTTTGAGAGCTCAGTGGACGATAAAGTACTAGCTGATAAGATAGATACTTAGAAGCTGCTTCAAACGACCGAAGCTGAGGTGGCGTCTGATAGTTAATCAAACAGACGCCTGAAACTAGGACACAATCCCAGGGAAACAAACTTTCCCATGCATTTCATCCAAGCTACCAACCTATTAGCCCCCGACAAACTACTACCTGCATCATGGCATCATGTTCAAGAGTCAGAATTTCACTAATTAAAGACTCTTGAAATTAGTTTACAAAAATTGGACAGTTTGTGATACCTTGAGTTCTCTGAAGTCATACTCCAGCTGTTGAATGTAATTCTTTTTTTTTGCACGACACTTGCGTGCTGCTTCACGATTCTTGCACCGCAAGTCGGACAACTGAATGGATTTGGGGTGCTTGAAGGGATCATTAGCAATCGACGCTTTTTCAGAGAGAGATGTCAGGATTGGAGGAGGATGAGGAGGCGGAGTAGAAGCATGGAGAGGTGGAGAAGTCGGTTTCGGAGCAATCTCAACAAAATTGTGTGGAAGACAGGTGCTAGTTTCTGAACCGGACGAGGCAGAAGTGGGGAAATTTAGGCTATTTTCCACCGTGTGATGCAATTTCTGCTCATCCATGGCCATTTGAAGGCGACAGTCAGTGAACATGAAGCTCCCCGGAGGAATGGAGGAGGCAAGAAAGTGAGGGTGGTTGTGAAGGAATGACAAACCCGGTGGTAAAGGGGCCAATTTGGATTTCGAGGCATTCCTAGCAGACGCCGAAGTAACCAAGTTGCCGTCTGTTGTGGCACCGCCTTCGAGAGACATAAAACGGACAAATGAGAGGCCCTTTTCGCATTGATCGGGAGGGTCATCGTTAGTGAGGATCAATGTATCACCAGAATCGCTGTCACATGAATAGTCATCCACATTTTCGTGTGCATAATTTGATGACGATCCCGTCATAGCAAATACAATGAAGACTAAAAAAGTCCAGGAAAGGTTAGTAATGCACCTAATTACGATCATTATGGTGCACACAAAGACACACTGATAGAAAAATGTCAGCAATAGAAAAAAGAGGGAACCCAATAAAAATGACGACTTAGGGGAATTAGATCAAGTCCTAACATAAACATATGCAAGGTATAATTCCTACACTAACAGTTAGAAAACATAACCTGATATGAAGGGAAAAAAAGAACAATTTTACCCCCTCCCTTTGCTGACAATAAAACGCTTAGATATACACTAGCAAGAACACTAAGGGAATAAGATAAACAAAGTAAGTCCATACAGGACCGACAACCTAACACCTATGCAAAAATATGGCTGATTTGACCTTAAGTGACGGGAATAACTGGTTCGAAGGTTCGCACACCCAAAAACGGCTTAGAAGGAAAACACAAGGTTAATGAAAACTACAAATGGCAATGAGGGCCAGTAAAAACGGTGAAAATGTAACAAATATGGGTCCGAACTACACGAAAAAAAATGTATTTTAGAAGATTTGTAAGCAATCACCAGCGGTAAAGGCACTGCCAGGACGCACAACTAAGCAAAGCGACCTTAGTCTGTCAGGCTAAAAGTGGAATCTTCCGTCTGTTATGATGTTATTACTCTAAACGGAATAACTTTAACAGAAACGATATTAAACCACAGACTTAAAGGACATACATTGCTAAACAAAAAAAGAAAAAGATAAGACGAAAATGCCAATCTAATCAGGTCACAGGTATTTTTAACCCAACTACGTTAGTCATACACACATCAGCGCTGGAAAATTAAGTAGTGCAGTCAGTAAAGTTACAAGTTCAGGACGCAAAAAGTATCTCTAATCAGCAACGGGCAGAAATCAGTATAAGTAGACTATTGTTTTTAGCTAATACAGTGATTTTTTTATTTTGCTTGGCCATATGTTGAAGTGCACGGACATTTCTGTGCCTGAAGTTTGTAATTTCGCTTCATGCCATGATTGCAGCGCCATGAGACTTTGTAGCGTCCCAGAACTCCCTGAAGACGAAAGAAGACACAATATTCGGGCAGTATATATATTCAGCACGGAGAAGGTGTCTGGGCTATTGGCATGGCCCAAAAGGCCAGCCCACCCAGCGAGGTACAAAGGGGGCTTATTCAAGTACAAAAGTGGCCCCTCACTAGTGCCGAGAGATAAACCACTGTCGTATTACAACTTTCCTAAAGACGAAAGGACGCATAATAGAAGCCGCATTGGTGGCTACGGCAAACAAACTCGGCCTACAAGGACAAATATATTGTCTTCGCTATCCCAATACTAGATTTTGACTACACAGAAAAGGCATTCATCACGAGAGTAAGTCTATAGGTACTTTTCAGAATGGTTATAAATGAAGCCTACGTTTACCTATCGCAAATGAAGTAACACCAAATTCGGTCTATTAGGAGAAGCTCATTAGCAAGTCATCTACTATATCTGTACAAAAAAGGTCTCGAGAAATCGGTTTTTTCTCCACGGTTATACGTGTAGCTGAACAGCAGTTAAATGAATACCAAGTAGTAAGAGAGAATAGATGTAGAATAAAAGCCTTGCAACATCATCCTGCACCCTATTTATCATTCAGCGGCCTGAATTTTGGGCAAATTTTTTTACTGATATCAACGAGAGATAAGATATACAATTTGTAGAGTACCTTACTCTTTAGCTCAGTGAAAAATAGCGATCTTTTAATTTTATGCTTCAGGTGATCTATAGGACAAGAAATTAGACACAATAGAACTTTCATATCAAATGCATGTCTACATTCAATGACTGCTGCTGGTGGTTCATGAATGTTTTTGAAAAACTAACAAAGATGTAAACCAAAGATAGAGCTAGATAAAGCTCCCAAAAGGAAAAGAGGCTGTGCAGTTTTTTGAGCTTAGTTTAACTGTGCGAATAAGGCTGTTTGAGAGACTCGAACCTCTGGGGCCAGCAACGATGTTACGATTCACCAAAATAAATCATTATTATGTGGAAAGGGAGATCAGTAAAATCAAATGGATGAAAGGCTTAAAACCAATGATCAAAAATTTAAGGGCACAGAAGTTTGGTCTTATTAATCAGACAAATTTGCTTAACCAATAACCAGCCACTGCTTGCTTTTCAAAATAAAATATGGCAATATAGGATCAAATTTAGCTTAAAATAAGCGCGTTACCTCAGAGTAAATTCGAACCCCAATGTGTCATTTTTTATGTTATGTTCTCTACGTGATTTAAAATAAGGCCTGTTTGCTATAACAAAGCTGATTTTTTTAGGAGCTGTACAGTAGATTTTAATGCTTCAAATAAATTATATTATATTGTAAAGGACACAACTTTCAGAGAACTTACTTTAAAACTTTACTTTACTTAAAACGTTACTTTAAAAATAACTAAGTAGGGGCTTTGTAGCAAACACGGTCGTAAAATAATGCACTTTAGAAGCATAAAAATACGACTTAAATAAAATGTTTAAAATGGCTACAGTTGATTTGCAATTATTATTTTACCTAGGCTTTTTTAATCATTATCCAAACGACCCGCACATATTAATCTCAGATTGCCGGTATATTCGTTGTTGGGATGAGCCAACCCTTTTCGCGAGATCGTTTATGCCAAATTTTTCAGAAGTATCTTTTCTGAATATAACCATTTGTTTTTGATAGACTAGATAAAGATGGAAGTGGGACGCTTTCCGCCTCAGAACTTCAGAAAGCTCTGTCTAACGGAACTTGGACTCCTTTCAATATCATGACTGTACAGGCAATGATCGGTATGTACTCGGAGCAAGCTTTCTTAATTTTTTTCCAGACCTCTTTAGTCCCAATCACTCGTTGGAGGTCAACTTTGATGGGTTCCTCCGTCTTTGGGATTTTGTCGAAGGATGGCAGCGCTACTTCAAGGCTGTTGATCGCGATAATTCAGGATGTATAGACATCCACGAGCTACAGTCCGCTATATCGCAAGCAGGTTAGTATCTACAATGTTTTTGCCCCATTAAATGCACATTTGTTTACTCGGTCGTTCATTTTGGAATTTTAGGCTATCGACTAAGTCCTGCAATGTACCAGCTTATGATGTGCCGCTTTGATCGTCAAAAAAAGGGCGTTGTTTACTTCGATGACTTCATGCACATGTGCATCATACTGCAGGTTAGTCAAGAATGGGCGTTCTTTCCTCCTCTTACAAATTTGTCTCGTCTCTGATGCTGAATCCCCACTTTTCCCATTTTCCTGTCATCCAGAAACTGACGGAACAGTTTCGAAATCTGGACACCGATCGCGACGGCTACATTCAGATAGGGTTCGAGGACTTCCTAGTTCGTGTCTTTACCGTGTTCACATAAGCCTTCAGTCAAATATATTAAGTGCCTTTCAATTATTTCGTAAAACGTTTTTTTGCAAACAGAATACCCTCCAACCTCGTACATTCCATGGCACCTTTTCTTGTGGTGATCCGATGCCAAGCACATGATTAAATATATCTGTACTTCTGTCTGTATCTATATACCTATACCTACCCCGACTTTTTTTGCTGCGTATTCAGTTTGCTTTTTACAGCTTTAAAAGAATAAAATAGTTAATAATTGTTCTTTTTACACGCGCGCACACGTCGTGTCTCACTTTCATTTGTTATACCAACTTGTGTCAGATAGGTGAGCCGCATGCCTCACGAATCTGCTTGTACCACTTAAACGGGCGTTAATTTATTTGCTATCACCCTTTCCTCCTTCTACAAAGCCGAGAAGTCCCCATTTTCGCACCTCAAAATGCGGTACTCATCTGGCTCATTTTAAGGCTAGGTCAGAGTAAACACTGTGTTAATGATTTTTCTCACCTTAAATTTGGTCAGTTGACGCCACTGTGTTGCGCTACCTAATCATGCATCGGTGCAATTCTGTCACGAAATTGTGACTAGCTGTGTCTTGCCAAACTGGCAAGCTTTTGTCAGCTCTCTATAGAGGCACATTTTATCAATAGTCAAGACCGAATTTGAGGACCAAATTCTTTTTTCTAAATAGAAATCGAGAGGCGGGTTGTCAAGGCGGGAGAGAGAACATCGACAACCTCAAAATTGAGAATGTCACGAAGTTTGCACAGGACCGATGCATGATAACTCGACACTTCGATTCTCCCTCTTACTTGATTGACGCGTGAGAGGAGTCAGTCAACCGTGAATATGGCGCGCCGATTCGTCAGCTTTGACGTCCTTGACAGGTGTGCCTTTGCTGCAAACTGCAGAAGTTCACTTCACGTCAAACGTGATGCATAGCTTTTGGAGAGGGTGTGAAATGTGGTTGCACAACGCCCCGACATTGCATCAGTGGTTACACCAAAGCGATTCGCTCCTTCACACTGCCGAGGTGCTGGCCTCTGTGTGGGACGCAGTTGTTCCTACCGAAGGACAGTTGTTTACGACCGCGGTGCCAGTGCAACCCACCAAGTGCTTTGGGCACACAGCTTTGGTTTGATGGGTCAGCAGGAGGGTGAAGTCTGGACCTTATGAGTTAACTCATTTGAGGGGTAGAGGGAAAGTCTAGGCCATGCCTTCCACCGTGTCGCCTGGATAATCTACATCCCATCGCCAGGACATGATTTCCACCCATTCTGGAGAGGGTGACATCAGGCAACCACGTGGCTACACCCCAATTAGGGTGGTTAAATGGATGGTGGGACACGAAGGTGAGGCAGCTTCTTTTGCCTCACGTCTGGACACAAAGGCGTTGGATTGTGTGTGGTTAAGGCAGGCACGGTTGACAGTAAGTGTCTCATTTCCCGTTGCCAAAAGGTGCGGACAAGACTGTTTCCAACGTTGCAACTGGGTGCAATCAGTTGGTGCAGAGTGTGCAGAGAATGTGTGCCGCATGGAGATGAGATGACTGAGTGTCACATATATGTGTCGCTGGTAATAGACAGTCCAAATATGCTTGCAACATTGGCGAAAATGCCAATGTTGTGAGGTTTTGAGTTGTTTCATACTTTTAATTACTGAATTTTGCTGCTCGCATCAACATTCAATCTTGGGAAAGATGTTTGCCTCCCCCTTTCTCTCATTCGTCAATATTTCACTTTGATTTTGGACACCTTCCTGTCATCATAGCAACATAGAGGGTCACTCGCCTCACTGCGGAGTAGACCAGCAAGGAATACCTCCCCCACAGTCTGTATTCTGGTTCTTTCAGTCGTGAGGAGAGAGGACTGACCCTCCGTGTCTGTGTTCACATGACTTGGCAGACTGGTGCTTGAGTCGTGCACTTCACCTTCAATGATTGTGAGTATGGAGGCGTGGGTGTCACGAAAACTCACAGACACCCACCAAATTGAGCTCTTGAGAAGCAGGGTCGAGACTGCGAATATCTACTGGTCCTCAAATTCGTTGCTTTTTCGTCACCTATGATGAAGGGTCAATTTCACCGGCGTCAACCAACTAGTCTACCTCGCCTAAAATCAACAGCTCCT